GCCTCATGTATGTTCCCTGGTTTTAGCCATGGAGAAAACTCTTGGCTGGAGACAATTTTGGTTACATTTACACTTGATCAGATTTTCCAAAAAAGTTAATGGTGCATCTCCCAAATGTCCCGGCCGCAACAACGCTTTATTGGTTCCGCTATCGGGACGGAATAGTAATTTTTTTTTTTATAATAAAAAAAAATTTGTTAATTTTAATGTTTTATTTAGATTACAAAGATAAATCATAATAAAAATAATCTTATTTATGATGTTTTAAAAATTAAGACCTACGAAAGACTGATTTAAGACATTTTAATACCAACTAAGGCCTTAATTTTATTTGGAAGAATTCAATGCCTTTTAAGACTTTTTAAGGACCCGCGGGAACACTGGTTCCAGCCCATCATTAGAATTTCTTTGAGCATTATGTCTTTAGGGGCACTGGCCCCCATTTGCCCCTGTCTAGAACCGCCCATGGTGAAGCATCAGTTAAAGCTGCTCCCCTCAGGAGCAGTGATGCACTTGGAGGCACGTATGGCATACGCTGGCATAGGTCAAGAAATGTTGAGCATGCTCCAAATTTATTGACGTACTCGTATTTCGACCTGTGCCAGCGTGTTTTGGCGTGCTCATAACTTATCCGATGTATGCCAGTGTTTTAGCCAGATTTTCGTACGTCAGACATAAGCTGATCTACATCATCAAGGTGTGACACTAGCTTTGGCCTGCAATGTCCAATACCTGCCCGTGTCTCTGAAAGGGAGACACAGATATGGCAATGATAGCCAAAACAAGGCCTTGTTTTTGGTCAACTATATAAAACCTGGAACTAAACGCTATTTCTGACATTTTGAATTAGAAAAGCTTCCTGGATGGAAGAGAAACATCTTCAAACTTGGAAACAAAGTCCAGAGGATTGTTGAACTTTTTTTGGAATACCTGAAAATGTTTTTTCTTTGTCTCCACTGGTTTTGCTACAAGGTTTACAATAAAAATTAACATGTTTAATTAGTTAGGAAATAATGCAACTCCCTTCCTACTCAGCTGCTTATTATAAATCAAATGTGGCAGTGTTTACATAAAACTCCATTTAAGGCTGAGAAAGATGCAATTTCACAAAATTTAATCTGTTTAAGTCAGACACCCTTAATGTTGGTTTGGGAGGAAAAAGAACCAAGCTGCTCAGAAACCTTAAATACAATATATAGTTTAAACACATTCGTAAATGAAGCATAATATTCGGTTTCTTTGTAAATAAGGAAATTTGAAGGTTAAAGCGACCAATACCATCCACCCTGAACTTCAGATTAATATTAGGATCATGTGACCAGATATTAAAGCCATCAGTTTTAACCTTTTTCACTAAAGTTTGTCTAAATTATCCTAAAGTCACTTCTTATCTTACAACTGGACCGAAACAAAATTTTAAAACATTAATACTTCAGTACGTTCACCCAAACCTCACTAGAAAAATTACACTGGAAAAACCATCTAGAAATAAGTAAAAAATGTATTCAATTAAGTATATTTACCCTTAATTTGAGTAATAAATGAGAATAGTTTGCCAATGGAAAGAATATTTTTTACTCTTAAATTAAGATAATTAGATAACATGCACTTGAAATAAGACAATGCAATTAAGTTTTCTTATTTTAAGTGTAAATTGTTTTGTTCCGTTGGCAAAAAGTATTTTATCTCCTCAATCCAAGAACAAATGCATTTATTTTAAGAAAAAAATGTCTAGATTTCAATTTTTTCCAGTGTAACAGATGCCAAGATTTAAAATAATGCATCTTTATCCTGAGTTTAAAGTCCTTATGACAATAAAAGGACGGAGAGAAGCCTGCTTTGAAGACGGAGCGCTCCTTCAGAACCCGCTGCTGAAAAATCACTGAACTTTAGGATATTTGGCTGCTGGGAAATATTTTAATCTGCAGACTAAAAACATAACAGGCTGGACAGTAATAGTAGAATCCATCAATTCCACAGGAAATAATTCCCGTTGGCAGGAAGTCCACCGGTTTCCCAGGGAGTCCCACTCCAGGGTTTCCGACAGTAATTAGAATTGATTAAATGTCGATTATTTTGTTTAATTAAGGCCTTAATTGGCATTAAATTTGTGATAATTGAGGCATTTAAAATGCTTTATATCTTTATATATCAGATAGAACTGCTTCCGGAAGGCTTTGGAAAAGAAGCTTGAGTCGGAGAAAAGGCTAAGGAATAGAGAAAATGCAAATCTTAACTATAGTGGTCATGGGTGCTTGTTAATGACATTAAAATTATTTAATAGTATTAAATGAACATTAAATTCCAGTTACTCATTTCTGAATAAACCCTGAACTCAAACCGATCTTTAAAGCCTCAGACCTGAAGCAGCTCTACTTCATTTGGTTTAGTTGTATTAAAATTGGCTGTTTTTAAGCTACAAAATCATGTATCTTAGTCAAATCATCATGAAACTCCTGGTATCTGTGAATACCACACTTTAGAGATCAGTAAAAGTATTTACTCTTAAATTCTTAGGTATTTACTGCTTTGGTGACACTAAAAACTCCAGCAGAGAATGAGTTTAAAATCCCACACACAATAAAACGCTTTCGTACAACACCGAGAAATATTTAATGATTTATATTTATCATAAAACCACGGTAGAAAAGTTAAGAAAGCAAAGACATAAGAGCTGTTTTCCAATTTTTATTAGAATCTTCTGTACATGTTGGATTTACTTCAGCTCCTTGACGGCCAGACCTGAAAAAGAATAAGATCGGGTTAGAAATATAAAGTTTTTCGGCAGGTTGAGTACTTTGGATAAATACTCCACTAAAAAAAGAAAAACAGCAGCGTCTTGGCTTTAAAAAAACAGCAGATTAGTTTTTAGATGTTAAGAAAAATCTTTAGTTTCAGCAAAGTTCACATGAAAAACCATCCAGCAACAGTTTTTTTTTAAGCTAAAACTACATTATTTGGGAAACAAAACTAATTGGTAAACATTGTAGCTTAAAATCTGACTGATAAAACCTTGTTACTCTGGAAAGTAAACATCTGTTTCAACATCTTGATTACCAATATCTAGAGTGAGAATCTGAATGAAGGTCATAGGGCTGGGCGATATAGAAAAAAAGCTTATCGATAAAAAAAAATGCATATTGATCGATATCGATA